AGTGGTGAGATTATGGCAGGGGGAGGCTTGAATTCAATTCTTTCATGCTCAGAAAGGCACAGGTAGATCAGCTTTGGTCCTCATTGACCTATGCAGAAGATTTTCCTTGTTTTTTCCCAAATATCCTACTTTCTGCCTGATTCAGGCATGTTTCTATGAAGTAATCATTGTGTGAACAGGACTGAGTCAGCAACAGCAAACAGCCACATATAGTAGTGTATTTTCTAGGACTGGACTTTTCTTTCTGTCCCAGACAAGCTTCTGAGCCCCTGGGCACAGAAGAAATTGGAAGATTTCAGAGATTTTCAGAATGAGAGTAACTCTGAGCCATTGAAGTGTTCCCCCTGAAGCTCTGGGGCAAAAGGGATGATCCCTTCTTTCTTCTTCCATTACAAAGTGCTCAGACAGCATAGACATGGTCTGCATTTAAAAGGAGACATCCTAGAAAAATGTTTCCCACCCAAAACCAGTCCAGTCTGAGGCTGCAGCAGCTGCCTCCTGTGCAATGTCCTCACTGCTGTCCCCATGGGGGTAACGTGGGTGCCCTCCCACGGGGGGATCTCCTCTGCATTTCAGAAGCACTGCAGCAGTGCTGCGACCTGTCCCAGCTCTGGTTCCGGGAATTCTTCTTGGAGCTGACCATGGGCCGACGCATCCAGTTCCCCATCGAAATGTCCATGCCCTGGATCCTCACAGACCATATTCTGGAAACCAAAGAACCCTCCATGATGGAGTAAGAGCTGATGGGCCGTGTTGGGGCTGTGCACATGCTGGGGCTTGGGATTTTGTTTCAGAAGTAGATGTTTCTTGACTTGCTGTCACGTGAATGGTACTGTGTGAACACCTCGTTAGCAGACACACAGGAGCAGCTTCCTGGCACTGGCACTTATTTATGTGTCATAAACAGCTGGCAACTGCTCTGTTGGGATGTGGGCACGATGTGGTGGTACTGTCACCTGCACAGTCAGACAGTGTGTGTGACCAAAGGGGGGTGGGCCCAGGCTAAGCCACCTAAAACACACTTTTTTTTTTTAATGCATAATAAATAAGGAGAGGCATTGATGTTATGCAAGTGTAATTATGTTCATTATGTCTTCCTGGTTGGTTTTCTGTTGTATGGCCATTGTCAGAGCATTTTGTGTAGTGAGAGCAGGACGAAAGCCTTTTTAAGGGTCGGAAAGAAGCAAGTGTTGATTGAACAAGTCACAGCTCAAACCCAGGTCTGTTGTAGCTACTTCCTGCAGGACCCAAGGAGTGAGAGGGACTATTTGAGGGGCTGGCAGGAATGGCAGTGATAGGCATGAAGTCAGGGAAAAAGCATTTTTTGCACTGAGCAGGGAGCATGCACTGCCTGCCATTTATGCTGATATGCTCCAAAGTTAATTTAAGACGTGGTCTGTCTTCTTCCCCTCAGGTATGTGCTGTACCCCTTGGACCTCTATAATGACAGCGCATACTATGCTTTGACCAAGTTCAAAAAGCAGTTCCTATACGATGAAATTGAAGCTGAAGTAAGTTCTCTTCATCTTTATTGTATAGAAAGAGCTCACTGGGGTCATATTGCCCTGCTTGGCAGCCCCACCCAGCAGTTCAGTGAATTCATTATAGGCACCTTCCGAAAAAAATATCCTGTCAGACTGAGAAGTTTTCAAAAGATCAGCATTTCCAGAGACCTTACAGACTCTCCTGATTAAGGGTTTCAACTTAGCTGTACCCATGGGGGACCATGGAAGCCAAAGGCAGTCAAACACTGGGGACATGGAAGAGTCTGTCTGATGTGCAGAGGGTTATGAAACATCAGAGGAAAATGAGAAATTCCCTGAGAGGGAAGGATGATGGAGGGTAGGAGACCAGGACCTGTAAGAACATGAAGAAACTGTAAGATGGAAAATGTAACTGCAATTCTCTGCTTACCTTTAGCATGTGAGAACTGTGTTTTTTAGGTAGTGTGACCTTCAATACATGCTTGTCTTAAATGAGAGATCTGTGTTGGGTTGTGTTGATCTAGCATGCATAGGAAGGAGCTGCTCTGTGCTGGTGACACCCTCACCAAGTCTTGTTTTTTTTCTCCCCCAGGTGAATTTGTGCTTTGATCAATTTGTGTACAAGCTGGCAGATCAGATCTTTGCCTATTATAAAGCAATGGCTGGCAGGTAGGAGAACCTGACTGCTGATGGTGACTGATGATATTGCTGCATCCAAATTGCTGTTAAACCAAAAGGTTCCCCTCAGGGAGCAGCCGCCGCAAGTAGACAATAACATAGATCATCCCTGTCCCACGGAGCTGGCTGTCCACGTCAGACCAGTAAATGGGAAAAATGAATTAACAGTGGCAAGGAGACACAGTTAAAAGTGAAAACATAACAATTGGCATTCTGAGTACAGTTTGTGAGAGCAGCAGAAAGGCAAATGGAGACAACATGTCCTTACTTGACTTCTGTTTGTGTACCAGGCAGAGGAGTGGAAGCCTCCCATCTCTACAAAGCAGGAATATGCATTTGTCCTCACCCTAGTAAAGCAGCAGGACTTGTTCTCCCTCGTGGGGAGATAGAACCTTTGTGACATTTCCTTCTTAGCAATTTAAAGAACATGGATGAACTCTAAACTTCTTCTCATGGCCCCAAAGGTGAACCAAGTCTGCTGTGTAACTTTGCAAGGAGTTTTGTCTCTAGGTCACATTTAGCCTTAGAGAAGGAGAGCAATCACCATCACCAACCAAATGTTCCCACAGCAGACTGGGGACCGCCCCTGAACCTGGCACTAGTGATATCTTTCAGCATATTTTTTTATCTTTTTGAAGGTTTTAGCCATAAAACAGAAGCATGGCAGTCCCCAGATAACACCTGCTGCTCTGTGATTTAGGGGTGTAAGCAGAGGTATTAACGTGTGGAAATTTCTTGGCATTCAGAGCCAAGATTAAAAGGGCAAAAACGAATCTGGAAAGATCCACAGAGAAGCTGATAGTGTATGTTTCTATTTTCCTGACACTGCTTCTGTTTTTCAGTGTTTTATTGGACAAACGTTTCCGGGCTGAATGCAAGAATTACGGGGTGATCATCCCGTACCCACCATCCAACCGCTACGAAACGCTGCTCAAGCAGAGGCACGTCCAGGTACAGTGCAAGCAATAGACTCCAGTACCCATCACTCCTGGTCTATTATCCATTTGGTGACAGTGGGCATCCTGGTGCTGGGCTCAATTGAGATTGGTTCTGGAATGAGAAGGGTGGGACCCTGTTTCTGACACACCACACTCAAGGCTTGGGGCCTGAGGGGAAAACAAGTTGTGCTCCACATTTCCCTCCTTCCCTCTTAAGTTGACTTTACATCGCCATTTTCACATTTTAGCAGGCTTGGATGTTTGGTTTTAAGCTCTGTCTGTTAAAAAAGAAATAGAATACCTTTTCCCCTTCTGTATGTAATATGCAAATCTCTTCTTTTCCCAGTTGCTGGGTAGATCAATTGACCTGAACAGGCTCATTACCCAGCGCATCTCGGCAGCAATGTACAAATCGTTAGACCAGGCCATTAGCCGCTTTGAGAGCGAGGACCTGACATCCATAGTGGTAAGAACTGTTATTGACTGCGAGTATGAACAGAGAGAATAATACACTGCCATGGATACACAGTCAACTGTCTTCTGCTTTGAGTCTCCCTACAGTAGGTTTCAGGCAGCCATGTATCCTCCTTTATGCTGCTGAGACTCTACTGTTTCTATTTATGCAGCTTTAATTGCATTATTATCAGACTATTAAGTATCTGCATAAATCATAAGGTGACAGTCAGCAGTTAGACTTTGCAGAGCTATAAGAGAGGCCTGTAACCTGAGTGAAGGAAATCTTGACTTTAATTCCCCATTGGATGAAGGTGGCTGTGACACTGTTTGTGTGTGTAAAGGATTTGCTGTCTTTGATATGTTACAGGAGCATCAGAGTCAAGTAGTGTAAAATTATGTTTCCACCTTTGGAGGATTCTGGGGTGAAAACCAGCCAGTGCTCAGTGGGGAACAAATTAATTTTGCTTCCTGTAGATTCACAAGATATGGGACCAAGACCCCCTTGAGTAGAAGTGCAATTGGCCTTGGCCACTGAATTAAATTGATATCTTTAGTTCTGTGTGTGTGTGTGGATATAAAACCATTCCCCTGGCAATTATATCAGCTGCTTCTGTTGTCATCTTGGTAATATGTTGCATTTGCTGCTGCTTTATGTGCTGCAGGAGCTGGAGTGGCTCTTGGAGATAAATCGCCTGACTCACAGGTTGCTGTGCAAGCACATGACCTTGGACAGCTTCGATGCCATGTTCCGGGAGGCCAATCACAACGTCTCCGCGCCCTATGGGCGCATCACCCTCCACGTCTTCTGGGAGCTCAACTTTGACTTCCTACCCAACTACTGCTACAATGGATCCACCAACAGGTGAGGAGGGAAAGCAAGGAAAGGGCCCCCTGGAAACCCTGCTTTTCTTTCTAGAATGTCAGACCTGCCGTATAAAATTCATGTGCATTGTGGTGAGATTTCCACTCCCTGTGAGATGCAACAATTACTCTTAGAATGAAGCTGAAGCCCACCATCTCCAGTTGGCCTTGAAGATGATAGTAACAAAGTCAAGCAGCAGTGATTGCAAGTGGCTGAGGGTTGTTTGAGCTCTGGTAGCTGATCAGATGTGGGTTTCTTGCCTGCCCCAAATGAGAAGAAACTTTGGTAGGTTACACTGATATTTTACACAACCAGTAGATTGGGGCAGGAGTTTGCATTCCAGTTCATTTAGCTCAGGTGATGAATTCTAATTAGCCTGCAACTACAGGTCATCCCAGACCATGCCATATCTGCTCTCAGTTAGCCAGGCTCTGACCACTTCCCATCTCCCATGCCCACCACAGGTTTGTGAGGACAGCGATCCCATTCACGCAGGAGCCCCAGCGGGACAAGCCAGCCAATGTTCAGCCCTATTACCTCTATGGATCCAAGGTCAGTAAATGAGCCACTGCAGCCAGAAGGGGTGGATGCTGGAAATATTTATTTATGAAGAAAGAAATGCAAGAACTAGTTCAATAACAGAATGGTGGGTGCAAATGTGCAGGGTCACACTGTTGTTTGAAACCAAAAGGCCATGCAAGAAGCAGATTCAGTGTGCTGTTGCTATTGCTTTCCCGTATTCTTCCCCGTAACACGCCCATGTTAAGAGATGCCAAAACAGCTCTGTGCTTGCTTGGTGTTGGCACTGAGACTGAGTCACATCCATCTAAATGCACAGAGAGGTGAGCACGTTGGTGCTCCAATGCAGTGTTCCTTCCCAAGGAAGGTACCATTTCAGGAATCTCATTTGTAGTTCAAAATAGGAATTACTAAAATACTTGAGTATGCAAATATAAACTACTTAATACTGACAAAAAGCTCTTTTCTCAGGCTGCAATGATTGTTTATACAGGCACTATGAGGGCTTGGGATGTGATACTAGTGGAGGATCACTCAAGTGTGAAACTACTCCAGTGGAGTTTATTTCTTGTGCACATTGATAGATGACTCTGAAGTGAACCTACCTTACTGATGCAGATGAATTAATGACACTACAGTCCGTCAAACCTGGCTGTTCCCAGAGAGCTGACTTGGATTCTTTTTAAAAATTCTCAGCAATTGACAAAAATCTTTCTCCCTGCAACCAGTGTTTGTGCACTGGTTTCTCCCTGCAACCAGTCTGTGCCTTGTGTTCTAGCCTGGGACAGACACCTGCCTTGGATACACAGACAGTTCTCTTGGCAAGAGCTGGGAAAGAGAGGATGAACCAAACCTCTAAGTAGGATCTTGTTTTATTTTGCTCTCATTGAAGGCCATGCTGTGGCAAGATGGCCCTTTTATCATCACTGCTTTTATAGGAAAAAAAGCAGTGAGGGGAGCTATATGGACTCTCCCTCATGAAACTGGAGCTCCTCATCAGCACAGTGGTCATGGGGACCTCCAGAAGCTCCTCCCTCAGTTCATCATTCAGTGGCTCCTCTGGTGAGCTGCTTCCTTCGACCACTTCTTCAGGGCTGGTGTCGGGATGCTTCAGCCTGGCAGCCTGGTGGCACCGTGCAGACCAGAACTGCAGGCAGCCGTAGGCCAGGAGAGCGAGGAAGCAGAGGAGCAGCAGGCTGCTCACCATCCACATGGAGGTGGTGGGTTCGTGCTTAGAGCCACCAAAAACCAGGGGGATTTTGTCCAGAGTGTGGAAGGTGGTGCAGTGGTTGCTGGAGGGGTAAGAGTTTTTGCATGTGATGCAGAGGACGTAGATGGTGGATGGTGTGAGTCGGTGGAGGACAAGGGAGCTGAGGGGGTGAGGGACTCGCTCCTCGCGGTGGAAGTTCTGGCGTAAATATCCGGCAAAGACGCTGTTCCAGTTGGGGCGGTACATGACGTGGTAGTAGTTCTCTGGACAGGGGTTGTTCATGGCCCAGGAGACCGTGGCGCTGGTGTAAGTGATGTTGTGCACTTCGATGTTCATCGTGCCCCTGAAACCAGATGCAGGCAGAGGCTGAGTTTCCTGATTTGTGTACAGGCTCAAAAGCCACTGACATCAGTGAAGTCTTTCCACTGCATTTACTGGCCCTTACATTGGATTCAGGACTATCCTGGCTCACTTAGGTTAGATGCTAGGTCTTGGACGGCTAAAATTACAAAAGATAAATCCTACTGTTGCCCAGCCTTCTATATCACCCTGCTTGATAACAACAGAAAAACCCCAGCTGGGGCATAGGGTGTACTTTAGTTAGATTTTTTAAAAAATCTCTCTAACTGGTTGTCTATATCAGAAGCATTTTTTAGCTTTTTTATTTCCCATGAAATAGAAAGGATGCTTCAAATGTGATTAACATACAGTGATCATTTAACTAGCTCCAACTTGCCTTGTGAAGCTGCCAATCAATAGATATTTTGATTTTACACTGAAATGCTTTTTTTAAAAAGCTTCATTATTAACCAGTGGTTAATCCACTGGTTTAAGTTGCTGCTGCATTTTCTGTACCTTACTTGTTGCTTAATAGAGTTTCTCTTTCTGTTCCTGCAGCATGTCACGCTGTAATATCAGGATCTTAAATGTGACATCTGTAGGTTGGTGACATCTAAAATCAGTGCTTTTAGAGAAATACAAATATATGAAATACAAGAACAAAGCTCTCCCCCAGCAGTAACAAATTACTGTTTAGCAACAGCCACAAATCACTTGAGCACATCACTCCTTTAGATCCCCAAAGTGCTCCCTGAGCCCCATTCATTCTCTCTCCCAGCCATCCAAGCGCTCGGAGCAGCAGCTGCACGCAATAGAGCTGGTTTATTTTTTTCCTTCTTCCTCTGTTCTTTAACAATCCCTAACTTTCCTTTAATTCACTCAGAGAGCAGCTCATCTTAAGAGCTGCTTTGTCCATTCTCACACGAGGAGGTGAGCAGCACATGTGCCCGTCGCTGAGCCCTCCCAGAGCCGTGGGCAGGCACTTACCTCCCTCACCTCCCCGGCGGGTCCGCGGTGGCCGTCGGTGCTGGTGACAGAGCGGCCACTGGCAGGCAGTGCCTTCCCCTCTTCCCACCACTCTCCTCCCTCCTGCCTCTGCTGAATCCCTTCCCCACGCGCTGCCTTGTATTATACCCGTCTGGGGCTCCGTCATCTCTCACCATGGCAACCACTAAGAAAGGATGGGCAGGCATCTTCGAGTGATTTGGGAATGTTATCCTTAAAAGCTTCTGCCTGGGAGAAGTATGTGTTTCTGAGGCAGAAAAAAAAAAAAGGGCAGGTAGTTTTGTTTGCTGGTTTGTTTGGGTTTTCTTTTTTTCCCCAGCAAGACCATCACTGAGCCCCAGCAGGGTCTGGGGTTACAGACACCTTGGCACATCGTATGAAATCTGGGATCCTGGTCTGTGGTACACATTGACTCAGGTCCTTAATTCTGTGATTTCTTGCACATTTAAACTACTGATTTAAACCAAAGCCAGTGAGCAGATTTTGAACCCTTATGGTGCAGCAACATCCAATAGCTTTTTAATGTTTTCTAAACTGTGCGATGGGAGTAGGAATTGGGTTTTCAAAGACCTCGACCCCCTGATGAACTGTGTGGGATTAAAGACAGGCTCTTCTTTGAATGTCCCTGACTTACAGACAACTTAGGGATGTCCCCTGTCAGTCTGGTGAGAGGGCAGGAGGGAGAGGCAATGCCAGTCCCAGTGGTGTTCAGGAGAGCAGCTCGAGTCTGTGGCCAGGAGGGGACAAATGTGTCACCAGGCCTGGTAAGGAGAGGCTCTGAACAAGTATCTCACTGCTCTCCAAAGCCAAAATGTGCTCGAGAGGAACTTTCCCAGAAGAAGTGTTGATTCTGGGTCTGGAGTTACTCATGTCATTCCTGGAAAGGTGTTTGCAACTTTTCAAAGATCTTCTAGACACCAACAGTGATGAGGTAATGGAAACTGCATCAGGAGGGGCTATTACAGGCTGGGGAGTATGTGTGACCCCTGCTTTTGATTGACATTTCACAGTTCTGGATGGTTTTGTCTTCCAAGATCTGTATTCCATTTTGTCTCTGTGAGAGCAGCTAAGGTGCATCTGCCAATGAGCTGAAAACTGGGAACAGAGATGAAAATAATTATGGGGAGGGATGGAAATGAAAGTGCTCCCAGGTGCTTCCTGCCTTTGGTTCGGTCCTGCTTACGAGAGCAGGGTGACATGCACCTCTTAGCTGGCTCCATGCTGTGAGTAAATTACATCTTTGCCTGCAGGGAGAGAGCTGAGGATACAAATCCCAGCTTCAGAAAGGTGGATTACAGAAGGTGGTAGCATTTTCATGGGACAGCCACTTTCTTATGGCATTTGGGTGGCTGAGTTTATCAGTGTTCACAGCTGCTTTGAAAGTAAATTTCAGTTGTTCACAAATAAGATGCATTAGCAGGAAGAGGGGAAACCAAGGAGAATGGGAATAGCTGGATTAGCCAGCAAGGAGTCCTGCTGACCTTTCTGCACACCGTGATTGATACTGCTTGCTAAGGGAAGTGCAGCAAAGCTTTCAGTGGTGTTGGGATTACCTGCTCCCAAAATCAGGCTTGCACCAGTGATGAACTTGAAATTCTCATTTCCCAGGATGAGAAGATGCCAAAACCATGCCAGTGCCAGGACTGCTCCAGCACTGATGTTTCCCATATCTGCAGGTGGACCCAGCTGTGGCCCTGCCTAGGACCTCTCACTCCTCATCATAGGATGCAAACCATGGGCATGCTCCAGCGGCCAGCAGAAACTGAGCTGTTATCTGTCATTCAGCCACTTATAAAACACAGCAGGTTGCGAAGTCTCCAACAAAGAAGCTGCAAAATTACCATCAACCCACTATTTACTGCTCACTAACCACTTCTTCGCTCTGTAAATGCTTTAGATTGGGCTTCATTTATGTATTTTCATGAGTGCTTATGTTTTTCTTGGCACTGCTGGATGCAGGGGCGCGCCAGAATCACTGGACATCCCTGTTTCCCTTTCCCTGGTTGAATTTGCTCCCCTTTTTCTAAAAAGTGTGCAGGCAGATGGAACTTGTGCATTTGGCTGCTGCTTGTAAAAATAGTCACGGTATGTGAACAGGATGGAGCCACTCTATTTTCTGCTGCCATGTCTGCAACAACAGCCCAAAGGTGTGAAGGAGCTGTGGTTGCTGCAGGAGATCTTGGTGGTGGGGGCTGCTGATCCCTTCCAAGCGACCTCCTGGGCTGTGCTACCCAGCTTGTTGCGATCAATATCAGTGTATACAGTCCCTGAAAATCAGTATTGGTATAACAGAATCATAAAATGGTTTGGGATGGAAGGGACCTTAAAGATCATCTAGTTCCAACACACATGCCAGGGGCAGGGGCACCTCCCTCTAGACCATGTTGTTCAGAGCTCGATCCAACCTGGCCTTGAACACTTCCAGGGGTGGGGCAGCCATAGCTTCTCTGGGTAACCTGTGCCAGGGCCTCACCACCCTCACAGTAAAGATTTTTTTCCTAATATCTCATTGTTTTGCTGAGACACAGAATATAGACATATACAGTCTCAATACAGTCTGTAACCATGGCTGCTGCACTGTACATGTCCTGTCCATCCCAGGTAGAAAATATGTGGGGTTTTTGCATGAAAGTCTCAGCAACCAGCTGATAAAGCTGAATATGGTAAAAACTCAAGGAGAGTGAAGGTTGCTTGTGGCAGGGGAAGGAACCAGGACATATTCAGGCCATTTGACTAGAGACCCTCCTCTGGCAATTCTGGTCAGAATTGTTTTTCACTTTCTAAGACACCATCTCAGCTGTTGCACTGCAGTTAGGTTGGCTGGGAGCCCTGACTAGTCCTGGGCTGTGTGCAAGTCCTTTTTTGTCTCTATATCCCTCTTTCATTAGCTCTTCATTTTTCCAAGGGAATTCTGGAACAGTTAGTACTGTTTATTATCTCTCTCTGATCTATTTTATCAGCTACAACTCACCCTGCCTTTTCTCAGGTGAGCTCAGACAGGTCTGGGTAATGGCCAACAACAAGCTCAAAGATTTGGAAATAGAACTGGGTTTTGATTTGCTTCATCTGCTACTAAATCCGCTCCAGAGCATCCTTAGTAACCTCCTGAGCTTCCAAAGCAATGCGGGGGCCTTCCCCACATGCTCACAATTACAGATGACTGTCCCTGAGACCTGGGTGCAGGATGGGATACCTGGGCTCTGCAGGACACTGCACTCCTGGCCTCCCATCCCCAGAACCTGCCCCTTTGGCCCCAAACCAAAGTTGGGACAAACCTCCCCAGGGGGTCTTCAGCAGCTGCTGCTCCAAGGGGAGGGCGGGATCAGGGATTTGCTTTGGCTCTCCAAGGGGTTGGAAGCGGCGGCCCAGCACGAGGGAGTGAGCTGTGCCATGTACCTTCAGCTGTTTTCTCTTAAAATACCCACTGGTGTCATTTTTTACATCCTACAGTCTTTACCCCAAGCTGTGTATCTCACCCTTAAATGGAGTTATATTTTTAATTGCTGGCAGAGTATTATTATTAGATGCAAGCCTGCTGTTAGTGCACTGTGTGGCTCTGCAGAGAGCTCGATGAACCTCCCTCATTTTGCAGACAGGCAGGGATGAATCATCCTGCTCGTCTGCAGCCAATGCATGTCCTAAAATGTGTCTTCTCCCAATCAGGCTAATTGCTGAGACCCCCACTTGAAGGAAAAGCCTGGATGAGAGCTGCTCTCCAGCCCCATTATCCCACTGAGAGGGAAGAAGTGCTCTGAGGTGGGCAGCTGTGCAGCAGCACTGGCCACTCGCTGCCCGTGCAGCAAAACATCAGCCCCGTTATGGGGAAAACCTGACCAGTTGCACTACAACTGGGTACTGGTGGTGGTAGCCCATCTCAGGGGACCAGGGCTCGTGCACAGACAGAAGTCCTGTCTGCTGGCCGTGGAGTAGCAAAGAGGCTTCCAGAAATGAGTGTGGATTCATGAGCCCACTGAAATGGGGATATTTTGTTCCCCTCTAGCCCTGGCGTGCTAAGCCTGGGGAAATAACAGGCTAAAGGAGCCTACAGGGAGACAGGGAAGGAAGGTGCAAGGAGCCATCTCGGGGCCACTTGGATCCCTCCTGCAGCACAGCTCTCTCTGGGGACACCTGGAGCAGGGACGGTGCCTTGCGAAAGCCAAAACAACACAGGCTGTGGCAGTATGGCTGGGCTGGGGCCCTGGGGCACTGACTTCCCTCTGGGATAGTGGTGTTGGCCGTTTGGCAAATATTCCAGGCTGGGTGTTACCTGGTGTTTAAACAGACACACTTTTCAAAACGTAAACCACTGCTGTTCTTCAGATGTATCAGGGTATGTAACTAGTGGCTTTGGTTCTGTCTCTACCAAACAGGTTTTTAAAGACTTGGTTATCTGAGAATGCAGACAGAAGACTAAGTAGGATGCTCAAATGCCATTCTCTGAACAGGAGTTGGCATCCAAGGAGTTTTGAAAGTAGGCTTCTGTCTGCCTAAATAATTGTTAAACTCTGGCTCATGCCTCATTCAGGGCCCTTTTTTTTAGTTTTAATGGGAGAGAAAGTTCATGCTCTTTGTGAATGAGCCTCCAAGGTAGCCTTTCTGTACTTAATAGTATTAAAGGGCTATTTTCACCTACCAGGAACAGGAGGAGAAATTATATTTCACGGAAAATAGGGGACTTTTTAAATGTGCTTATTTCTGCTAGTTCAGAGAGCACCAACGAATTACAGCAGGCAATGAGCTGGACCAGAGCAATGGAGCTGTAACAAAATGAGGGACAATTAATTGATTAAAGCATCTGACAAGTCTATGAAAGTGTGGTCAGTACCTCGGTCTGCTGAATTCTGTAGCTGAGAGCAAAAGAAAATGCTTTTCCAATTCCTAGCAAATGACTTCACTTTACAACTCATTAGTAGCTCAGATGAGGTGTTATAAGTAAGTCTTGCGGAAGTGAGTCAGAACTGGAGGACAACTGGAGCCTTCAGCCACTGTATTGCTGCAGTGGTGAAGCACAGACAATATTTTGCTCTGTTCTGCTACTTCAGCCTTTGCTCTCTTTCACCCAAACCTCCTCAGTGCCTTGATCCTGC